TAAGAATTTTATCATTTCGAAAATTTGTATACTAGTATAAATGATTTATTAATAGTGCTTTCAATGCACGGGCTGCATTTGAATGTTTTCATTTAATTTGCTCTTTGCTTACCGTTTAGCGTGGTTTTTATATTCATGGGGGTGAACTGGTAGAGTCTGTTTCTACGTATTCAGATATACTGTTCCAAGCAAATTTGATGAAAAATCATCACATGCCATGTTATCAAATAAAAATATATTCAACTGGTCAGAACCGGTTTGAATTTTTTAAGCATTAGAGAAATTATAACTCGACAATTACCGTTTGTATATTATGGAAGTTATATATCATTAGAAGCTTGTGTGTACTCAATACGAATATTGCATTTAAGGGTACAATCAAAACTGAAAAACTGACGACTTCAAAGTAGAATCTATGATATTCGTGATGATTTAAGTGTTCACTTGTCAACTCCCCATTCCACAGCAGTTACATAACCTCTGTCCAAAAGTATGACATTTACCTATATTCATTGCAACGATACGTTCGTGCATATTAATACTAAAAAATAAAATAACAAAAATACCGAACTCCAAAGAAAACCCAAAACGGAAAGTCCGTTTTCAAACGGCAAAATCAAAAGCTCCAAAACATCAAACGAATGGAAAACAACTGTCATATTCCTGACTTGGTACAGGCGTTTCCATATTTAAAAAATGGTGGATTAACCCTGGTTTTATAGCTAGCTAAACCTCTCACTTGTATGCCAGTGGCATAAAATTCCATTATAATGATAACAAAACAAACAGACAAAAAAAGGTAAAAGTGTTAAAAATAGGGGTACAACAGTCAACATTGTGTTTTAATCTTAATCAGTATAAAAACAAACAAATATGTCAACAAAGAAAAACAAAATGGCATAAAGACAAAGCACATAAGCAAAAATGAAAGACAAGAATACAAACAATGACCATAGTACAATAACACAATGGCGGGATGTATAAGTACCGAGCCAAGGTAAAAGGATTTTACCAAAAATAGTAAAGGTTAATAATTTACAAAGACAAATAAAAGAACACTCTAACACGTAATTAAGATGATCAATAACGTCAGTACCTAAAATCTATACTTCAAGACCATCATGTTTTATTTGTGAAGTTTATACGGAATATTTATCAACAAGGTCTTGGTATCTTCCAATGAACTTTTTTAGAAAAAGGACGAGACGTTCTTTGACATAAAATTGGTTCATCAACTTTCTGCTCTGACACTGGCGACGTTTTATAAAGTCTGAGTTGCAGCTGCAAACTCTTGAATACCGAATGAGTTTGATAATGTATATCCCATATGCAGGTGAAGTTGGTATATTGCTACTAAGGTGGGGGAAATTGATAATTTCATTATTACAATCGTCTCGTTTGTCATAGATTCCGGTACTGAGATGACCGATTATGTCAAATTCGAGGTATAAGTCTAAAAATGAGTCAAAGGAATCCGTGTCTGTTGTTTCTTTAATTTCTAGTTCTGGAGGATATATTAATGGAACCAATTCAGAAAAGTTTGGATTGTTAATGGAAAGAACATAGTCAATATATCTGAATGTGAAATTTAATGATCTGGCTTTTTGATCTTCTTGTTTTTGACAAGTGTCTGAAGGAACTCTGACTCATATGAAAATAAGAAGAGGTCGACAAGGAGAGGCGCACAGTTCGTTCCCATAGGAATGCCGACAAATTCAACAAATATATCAAGTAAATCAAGTATACTGATCATGTGTTCCCCTGTGTAGCATGTTTTACCTTTTTGTTCACCATTAACAAAATATACCGTATGGTATCCCAAAGTAATGAATTTACAGTGTATGCTACCATTTTTATATTGAAAAGCATTGTGGATTATTTCGTTTAGACAATTTTTCTATTTCACATGGGGGATGATGGTATAGAGGGTTGAATAATCAAAAGTTTTAATAGAATTAATTTCAAAGAAAGATCGAGATTTAAATTATCCAGAAGTTCTCTAGAGTATTTTAGAATCCACATATGTTTAATACCACTACGCGAGTAAACAGTTTGTCAGTATTTCTGAAGGCCTTGTGTCACTGCGGACATAATTTTTGTCAATCTTATGGACAATTCCTTTGTAGAACATGCAGATGAGCTGTCAATGTACCATTTTTTGTACGGAATTTTATGAACCTAAGGTATCCAATAGAAACAAGGTAAGTCCTCAGATTTGCTTTTCAATGTAATTTTCATTGAAGCCATGAAGGACTTATGATTCGCCAAAATCTCATCCTTGTCAAATGATATGTTTTTGTATGTGGGATTATCCGGGTGCTCATTTATTCCTAATTCTTTTACAAGACACTTGTAGAAGTACGATTTACAAACAAAGACAATATTATTTGAAGCTTTGGCCGCAGGAAGAACAACATATTTATCGTGAAGAGATGAAAGACATTTAACCGCTTCTTTGTCTCTGAAAACGGACTTTGGTCTATCATTCACACAGTTTTTCAACTTATGAATTCCACGTTTTATCAGAGACCTGACTGTTTTGACCCATTCTGACAGAGTGTCCAGTTCAACTTCTTCTCGTTAAGCTCATGCTCTGGCGTAGTCCTTAATGGAATCCATAATTATTTTGAAGTTATGGTTCCAATTGATGTGTTGGGATTCTCTGAACTGAGGATCATGAGATATCACCATTCGGAGATGTTTACATTGTATGTTGAATTATGTTTAGATCCCCAGTGATAACATGGCCAGAGGGGCTGTAAATATATGGCGAGTGGGAACAGTCACATGTCAGAGGTTTTTTAGGTATTCTTCTTAATCAAGGTCCTGTAGTGCTTGCTTCTAGTTTAAGTGCAATGGTTTTTGTGTAACTGTAGGATAAAATAAGAACAGACTGATTTGAAAATAAAGTGGAATTTCAGATGATATCTCCTTGTGATGAAGAACGTTGCTGATGTTGATAGCATCTATTCCTTTATTAGAAAACTGAACTGAAATGAATTTGCTCTTTTCATCATGTAAATGTTCCGATCTTACTGGTTTAAAAGACGGAAAAGAGCTACTTCAGAATTTATACTGACTAATCTGTATATTGGAGAAAATGTATTTATGCATCCCTTGTCAAGTGCATAATCTTTCAAACATTTTAGAGAATTAACAGGCAGTGAAAAAAGATTCCAGCAGACCCAAAGAAATGGACTCCAATAACAAGTGTATGCCCCTGACACATAAGCTACTACAATAGGACGATAAGGAAGTACGACTAAATTCGGCACTGCGTTAGTTTCACGGTCACGAATGGGTTGAATGATAGGACGTGTCTATATCTTAACTCACTAGGGTGTTAGATATTTAGATACCAGAATCTTTAAATTTACATATTGTGATATTTTCCCAATGTGACGGTTTGCCTGAATATGGATTGGCATAGGTGATGATCCTTGCATAGCATGAGAACACAAGATTTACTATTTCCTCTAACTTGTATATTGTACCCTTGCATTTGAACAGAAAGTTAGAGTACTGCAATGTTAAAGTTAATAAGTTACCGCAACAGAGACACCCGTTCGTAGCAAATAAGAAAAATGGACTGCTATAGATCGTATATTTTTTTCCATTTTGATGAACAATGACAAAATATGTCTTATGTAATCATGTCATTGTCTGTCTATATATTATAGATTAAAAGGTTACTTTAAATGAGTTTATTGATGTATATACAGGTTTAATTCACTAACAAACATCATTAAGTCCGAATGACTTCATGTTAAATTTTTCAGTGAAAGACCAAATAAAAACATCTATAAAATCCACATAACAAAAAATCAACATTTTATACACATTTAATGAACTTTTTTCCGCATATGTACGATTTTATACTTGTACCGTCATACATTATTGAAATATAACCTCCCACACTTCATTGGAATTCATAATTAATGAAAATAAATTACAACGGTAAGATTTATTGTTGTCGTTTCTTTCTTTTGTTGAGAATGTCGAGATTATTTTTCATGTTTATCTTCTGAAACGTTCAAACTAGCAAGTGTCATGAAATCATAGATATGCGCAGTAACTTTAGAATGCTAACCACACCAAAAGATTAAAGCATCGAAGTAGATTGAATTAAGAATGATAATCTAGGTTTGTATATAACATGTTGTAATATTCAAGACCTGATCATCCTGATGTACATCTTCCCACTAACAATTATATTGAATCTATTAGTGAGAGGAATGAATGATGTGCGCAAAAGTTCCCTGGAAAACTTATTAGGAATTTTTAAATATAGTTTTCAAATACCGCATAAATAAATTAGCTGATATATTTTAAAGGATGCACACTCCTTGACATTTAAATTTTAAGAATTACAAATGACATGCTAGTTTTTCGTAATGTATAGAAAAAGGTATGTATATATTCATTAATACAATTCGATGAAAATGAATTCAGTTTGCATTAAGAAGTAAAAGTAGATGTCACACAGTGGAGTTATCTTACTACTGGGAAGTGTTAATATCATATCTTATCTATAGAATATGTGTACATAGGACTAAATATCCCTCCTTGCAAATGTAATATCCCATTTCAGTGCTCAATAAACGGCGAAATATTTGTCAATTTTCTTTAAAAGTTTCATATCGTAACATGCGTAATGACAATGTAAATTAGGTTTTGCTAGTTGATGTAAAACAACCTTAAACCAAAGCTTATTGAATAAGGAGATGTGGTATGAATACCAATGAGACAAACATCCAACATATTAGTAGTTGACATGACGGGGATTTTAGCAGCAATAGGTCACCGTAAGGCCTTATATGGGGTTAAAAGACAAACTAACAGACGGCAAAAATTGACAGGAAAAATAATGTTCCTCTTTTCAATTTGGCGAGGTACAAAAACGCTGATTTATCAAAATATTATCAAACTACTCCAAACAGTCATTAATTTCACTTTATAAGTGTCTATAACAAAATAGAAAACTATGTATTTGTACTCACCATACAGCACTTTTAATCTAGCCTGTATGTAAGGAACCTATTATATGCGCAAAACATTTCTAGGAATTAAATATAAGGAATTTGTAATTATAAACTTTAACTAACATAGATAGATTATATCAGCATGTTTAAAAGGACGCACACTCCTTTGAATTTAAATTCTAAATGTTATTAATGACTTGCTAGTGATCCTATGTGAACTATTATAATAATCTTCATAATTGAACAAAATGTATGCGGTTAAATAAAAACAAATTCAACTTGCAGTATCAACTATTAGTGATAGAATAAAAGTTGTTGAGATTGTTTCTCTAGTCACCAAATTAAATATCAAACTTTTAAAGGAGTAAGTTCACAAATCGTGAATAGTGACCCTAGCATTCCATGAAATAAGATTTAGACATGTCTCTTCAGTGATTGCTCGAGTGACAAAATATTGGGAAATCCTAAATCTAACACAAACGTTCAATAGTTGGTCGAAAACGAAACAAAGGCGATTAAAAAACCAATTCAAGTAAGGAATCAAAGCTCTGCTTGACGGGAGATACATTCCTTAATTCAAAATGATTTTCAATAATGTATAACAGCAAATTTGAATCAAACAGTATCCGTATGTTCATACCAGTAGCGAAGTGCTGGCAATTTATCTTGTGATTTTCTTTGACAAGATCGTCAATTTGCAATGTGCTAGGGGCCGTCCTAAGCCTGAAGTGAGGTGAAAATATTTGCTCCGTGTTAAAGGATGAAGAACAACAATAAAAGCGCGGTTCCTCTGCTCTTTTTTTTTTTTTTTTTTTGGCTGTACATTTATTTATTTTGTGTCATGGATGGATACCTCATATCCTTACTTTTCTATTAAATCATGTTTTCCAAGTCTAAAATTCAACAAGTACACAACTAACGACTTTAGAGTAAAGACCTACTCTGTGCTGGACTGACCAGCTGACCTGGATATAAATGTGCTAGTTTGCTTATAAGTATATAAAAGTTCGCAGGAAGACATTTCACCTTTCTCCGACACATTAGTCCACTCTGAGCCGTCCAGTATCTGGTCTTACACCTTTAATTCGCGTGTTCTTTAAAAAGCAGTTTCTAAGTAGTTTTGTTTTTCCAGGCCAGGGATCAGTTTGTGAAAAAATGTTTGAATAAAACTTTATGTGCAGTATTCCAACAAAAACTTAACATAAATAATAAACCCATGAATATATATTACAAGACTAAATTGCATACAATCTTCAATTATGAACTTAAATCATTGACCTGAAGTCTATTTTTAATTCATTTTTACTGTTACTTTTTCATTGTCTTATTTCATTCCTTCGAATCAAATAAGATTTGAAGTGTCGTGTCTTTTTCCTCCTTGTCCCAAGTATAAACCACGTTTGAATGATTTAACTAAAAATTCCAAATTCTAAATAGACAAAACCATTTAGATAACAAACACAGACAGGCATGGCAATAAAAAGTACCAATATAATGAGAAAAAAAAAAAACAAAAAAAAACAAAGACTTAAACTCAATGATTTACGTCGTCTTTACTATCTACAACTTACTTACACATATATGTATGAGAAAAACGAATTAATTTTATATCGCAGAATAATGGAGAGCCAGCTCGAAGTATTTTTTCTGCTGATATAGAAATGAAACCTTTCTCAAACTCTATCTATTGTCGTATTTCAATGCGTCTTTTTTAATTTGCAAAGGCAACGACCATTCATTTGTTTTAAGTGGAGTGAATTTTTAAATTAATAGTTTGATTCAAAACTAAATAATAAGTTTGGTGACTATGTTCGACGCATCTCTCCCATCGAACCTGAAATAAAGGATGCAACAGATACAGTTAAATCTGCCTCATATCTTGACTTTCATATGAAAAGTGACAATGAGATCGGTTAAGCACAATACTTTACGACACAAAAGATGATTTCAGCTTCCTAATTATGAACTTTCTCTTTCTATGTAGCAACATATTATGGACGTCATTACGTATTAACCAGGAGATTTTACATGTACAGATATATATATTTGATCACGAAATCATTCAAATTAATATGAAATAGTCAGTTTTAATTTTTTTTTAACTTGCCGAATCATATGAATTATTTTGGAGATTTCAATCGTGATTTGTTGCTTTAATTCTTATATATTTTTTTTTCCAACCTCCCCCTTATTTTCAAAGTGGCATGCGATGCAAAAAAAGTAAAATTAAAAATCATATTTACGACAAAAACTCAGAAAGGTAAATATAAGGGTTTGCTTGATTTTGTATCTATCTGGAAAGTATCTATCCTGTTTAAACAATCTATTAAAGATAACCCCGTAAATACTTTATTTAAAACTAATAACATGTGTTAACAAAAAACTAAAACAACAATCAAAATTATTAGTGAAGTAGTCCTTTTAAAAAGTTAAACAACCTAAGTGACGTCATAAACAATGTTCATTGATATCAGATCAAAAGTAACCCAAATATATGTTTGGTTCGACTTGACGCATAAGATATGTTTGCTACTTTGACATAAAATTTCAACTCCTGCTTCCAAATAAATATCCCCACTAATGTAAGTGTCATATTTATAGAAAATAAGATTCTCCGAACGTTCATACGGATGTTGCGTGCACATGATCTCGTCCTCTTTCTTTGAATTGTTCATGTTTGATATGTAAATTGAATGTTTCGTGTTTGGATTCTTAGAATGAACTTCAATTGTGTTGTGCTTAGTTCCCCGTATTAACTGATAGTTAAAATCAATAGCACTGTACACATGATAAAAACCATTGACCGGGACACGAACACGCCCTCTGTGTAGTTTGACACCGTTTAACAAAAGGCCATTTCTTCACCGGTAATTTATCTTTGTCCATGTCATCTAAAAATAAATCGATATCAATAAACAATTATTCGAAATGAAATTATGTTGTTTATGGCTATAGAAATTACAACGTCACTGAATGTTATGTTACATTTCTGTGTATTGTTAATCAATGTTCTAAAAGAATAACCGAATAGAAATTGGACATTTTTATTACTGTTTACCATATGAATGAGAAGCAAGGCAGTTTTCACTTCGAAATTTACTGAATTGTTTCAACAACAACAAAAAAACCCACTAAAATGTCGAGTATAAGTTTATAAGTATCTCTTTCATACATAATTTTTATTTATACAGTAAAATCCATAAACCCTGTATCATAATTGAAAAAAACAAAGGATATGGGATATCCATCAATGACACATAATCAGTACATAAACAGCAAAAAATACACAAAAAACAAAGGCACAACGTTTTTATTGTTGTTCTTCATCTCATAATGATAACATAATAAAATCCATGAACTTTATACTTGCCTGGAATATCAATTTGTCTTGTGGCCAACTATAAACTAGAGGTTCAAAAGAGACTGTGTCTCTCATCTTGATCGATGTGCATTTTAACAAAAGCCACTCTCCAAATGTAATTCATGTCTAAAATCTCTTTTTTTTCTTGTTGATTTTATAAGTGCTGATTTTTTTTCTGTTTATTTTCTATCTATCGACTTTTATTAGTTTTTGTAAAAAACACAAAATGAATAGAAATTATCATTCAAGGGCAGTTACTTCTATAAGAAGTAAACTAACGGTTTTGACTTTGTTGACCTATTTGTAGATCGTGTCTTGCAGATCATTTTACTGTCTATCTTCTATAGCTTTTGCTCAAAACACAAAAAGCGTAAACATTGTAAAATTCCATTTTAAGGGCAATAACTCCTTTAAAAAGTCGAGTGAAGCTTTTGTCATGTTGACTTTTATGTTACAGTAGTTCTTGTCTTGCTGATCATATTTGCTAGTTAACGTTTCTAGCTATCTATTATAGGTTTCAAGATTGTAGATAAAATGCACAAAATTGGTAAAAAAAACATTTCAGGGCAATAACTCCTATCAGGAGTCATCTGACGATTTCAGCAATATCTTACGTATTTGCAGATCTTCTCTCGCTAATCTTTTTTTATTTTAAAGGTTTTCTATTTCGAATAAAGTTTAAAAAAAAAAGCAAATATGGAAAAAGGTTAAATTCGTCATTTAAGGGCAAAAAATTAACTAGTCGTCTTACGATTTCGGCCATGTTTTCTTATTTGAATATCTTGTCTTGCTGTCCTTTTTTGCCATAAAATGTTTCTCTCTATATGTAGGGATTTTCAAGATGAAACACAAACTTGGATAAAGCCTATTACGTATTACGTGTTAAATAGCATGATGAATGATAAGCATGTAGTAGAAAATTTTAAAGTTAAATGTAATGTACCGTTTTCAGCATGTGTCCAATGTCTGTACAACCATATCAATCCTATAAAGATATGATCTATCCCCCTGTCATCCTTGAATAGTATATTTGTATTTTGGCAATATGACAACTAGACAAAAGTACGTATAGGTACAGGGAACCTTTAAAACAAAAAGTGTCTCAACACACCTTCGCATTGAATATTTTTTTTGTAGATGATGGAACTAAGTGAAACAGTGTATTATGTCGGAACCATGAAAACATTACAATAGAATCAGAATATAATATTAGATGGCGATATAATCCAGTCAAATACAAAAGCAAGAAAATAATCAACAACAGTAAGTATGTTGTTGAGGAACAACAAAATTGAGTGTTACTTATGTAACGTCCAGTGGCAAATATTTCATACATATTCAGGACGATTCAGCAAATAAATGTAGTACCCATGGAGAGTAGGGTACATGGAAAGCACGTCGGCGTCGGCCACATCAAACCCTAATAGGTAAATCAGATACCTTACAAACTAAAATAATCTCATTCACATTTATATCATAGGTAATGAAATATTCAACACATATTCATTCGAAGGTATATAGGTAGTACATCCTACCATTTTCAATATAACATGCTTTTATGTATGCTACATCATGCGTAATTGAGCCATGCCATTATTCATGTTGGTTTTATGTATAACTGTCATGTGTCTTTTTGAAAGTCAGTGAAATATGCATAGTATTGCGTATGATAGTTGTTTCATGTTTATCAATTCTGAATTTTGGTATTTTGTTTTCTTTCAGTAAAGTAGTAGTATAGATATAAGTCAACCTATTTTTTGTCTTAAAAAGATCACCATAAACCTGGTGTTAATGACGCTCGAATAAAAAAAAAGGCAAAGTAGAATACGAAATTGGAACTGATTTTCATAATAACACTATGGTTTGCACTTATCGTCATAAAGGAGGAGGAATGTGTTAGATAATTTGGCCCCTGAAATTGCAACAACAGTAAAATTATTGAAGACTTTCAATGGGAATTAAATGTGATCCTCTTCTTGCCGACTTGTTCCTTTATTCAAATGAGACTTACTACACACAGGAGCTTCTGAGGAAGAATAAAATAATGCTAGCATTATCCTTTAATTTCACGTTCCGCTATATGGATTATGCCCTCTCAATAAATAATTCAAAGTTTGGTGACTATGTTAAACGAATCTATTCCATCGAACTTGAAATAAAGGATACAAAAGATACAGTAAAGTATGTCTCAAATCTTGACTTACATCTAGAAATTAATAACGAGGGTTGAGAACAAAATGTAACTATAACTCATAGTAACTGAGAAATGGACATAATCGCAAAAACTTAAAATTGACAAATGAACCATGAAATGAACTCATCATAGATAACAGGATTAAAATTGTGTACACGAAACACGCGTTTTGACTACAAAAGAATCACCAGTGACGCTCTTATATAAAGAAGTTAAATAGATCAAGGAGTTAAAAACTAATCTTTCTGAAAAGGAGGTCAAGGTCAGATGAACCCGGCCAGATAGACATGTACACCTTACAATCATTCGATACACCAACTATAGCTGACCTACAACTAATATTATCTGAGAAACCGTCCTACAATGTAATCAAGAAAAGTGAACATTGACCACCGAACATAACAATAAATATGATGTCAAAGTCAGATGTATCTATGATGAGTTTATTATGAATCCTGCCATACAGAGATGTACACTTTAAAATTATTCTATGCACCAAATATAGTTGAACTACTGCTTATTCTATCAGAGAAACACTTCTTTTTTATAATAAACTAAATATTGACCAATGAACCATGAAAATAAGGTCAAGGTTAGATGAACTATGTCAGATGGATATGTAAACATTTCACAGTCAAATGCATTACTAAAACAAGTAACTTTTTAAAATCACCTCTACAAGCTATATTGAAAAGGAAGTACTTTAAAATATTATTTATATAAGTTACTTTTGTAGACATTATTTACAAAGGTGTCCGTTCATTCCGATTTTAATAGCAGAATCAAATTTTCTCAGAGATCTGGTTATTCTTCCTATGAGTTTAAAAACTAATAATCCTGAAACACTTATTGCTTACCAGACCTTCCAGATGCATTTACATTTATTATTGACGGTTCTGATTAAAACATTGGTCTTTTGGGACTATGAAAATATAATTTGCTTTAGAAATTATAAAAGATCTAAACAGATGAATAAATGTGATTTAATTGAGACATACAGTTACTTATAATTTGTAAAAGTTCATAAAATCGTCATGTATATATATATATATATATATATATATAATTCGTCTGAATAACAGCCCAACAATGTTAGATCTGTAAATTTGCGGAAGCAAATTTTTGTTCTTCCCTTTGCTTCTGCAAATTTACAGATCTAACAGACGAATTGTATATACAGAATGTGTTTTCAGCCTTGTATCACCATTACTGGTGATCCGATGGATAAAATCTGTCGTAGAGTTGTCACTGGTTCAGACGTACTTATATATATATATATATATATACAAATTTACAGATCTAACATTGTTGGGCTGATGTTTAGTCGAATCATAAACAAGTCTTAATTGAAAACAACGTTCAAATCTATATTTGCGTTGGATAAAAACCGCAATTTTTATACGTGTGCATGCAACACAAATTTTTTGGTAGAGGGGTCTAAATACAGCACAAACAACATTTTCCAAAAGACCAAAACAGTGAAAAAGTATATTTTAACAAAACGCATTTGACTGGCAGGTCGAACAACGGATGTTCTTAAACCCTGCTGACTGCCAATGGCGATTGCCAAATAAACGGATCACCAGATGTAACAAAATGGATCTTAACTATTAATTTAATACCAAACAGAAAACAATAAACTTGCCGAAAAGATGGTATACCGCAAACAAAAAAGGTGCAAAAATTTGTACACCATATCCGGATTTCGACAATTAATGTCTCTTCGGTGAAGTTAGGAATCGAAACGGTATTTGGAAGGCCATATAATTTACCTCAATTTAGGATAGACTCTTGAATTTTGAAGAGTCGAAATAGGATGAACGGATCATATAAACCCGAAGGCAAATATAATACAAGCCCAAACGAAAAAATATAAACAAGTCTAAATTGAAAACAACGTTCAAACCTATATTTGCGTTGGATAAAAACCGCAATTTTTATACGTGTGCATGCAAAACAAATTTCTTGGTAGAGGGGTCTAAATACAGCACAAACAACATTTTCCAAAAGACCAAAACAGTGCAAAAAGTATATTTTAACAAATCGCATTTGATATATATGGTTGATGGTTGAAATTTAAAATAACTCTTTTGAGTAATTTTTCTTCAAAAATTACATTTATAGGTACATTGTGTAACTAGAAAATTACTTGTTCCAGTAAAGTCCATTGTAAAGGAGAATGAAAATTCCGTGGTTGGCATTGGTTGATGTCTGTCAAATTTTTTTTTTTTTTTTTTTTCATACATCGGGTTGTTGGTTTCCTTGTTTATTTAAACAAACCTTTTACTAATGGAAGAACACTACAATAATAACAATTATAAATAAATAACAACTTCATATGATGATGATAAAAAAAATAATTCAATACATACCAGACAAAAAAAATATCGGAGCAGGGCAGGGTATAATAAGTATGACTCGATTGATTGACTGTACAACATGTCGAATCGGTATTTATATATCAAATATGATTGGTGAAACAGTGTTTGCGGTCTTGATACGTCAGGACCTTTAGCTTATAGCTTGAACGCGTACTACTAGGTTCGTAGGTTGTACTTAAAGATAATTGACACAAAATATCCCATTAAGAGAAACCTGAAAAAATGTCATCATTATTGTAAGAATAAAAGTAACCTTTTATCGAAAAAAAGTAAGAGCTTCTCCATACCAGATTGATAGATTGTAGCAATAGTTTTAATGAGAAATGTAAAAATAAAAACATTTTAATCCAACTGCAAAAAATAATTAAACTCTTTAATTTTAAAACTACAACTGACCATTGAAAGCTGCATAAGGTTACTAAGCCTATCTTTCTCACATTTACGTCTAATACATGCAGTGATCTACTTGGTTTAAATGTTTACAGAATTTCACGTACTTATTTTAAAGTCATCTAAAAAAGGAGTTCACGAATTTGAATGTATATTTATCATGTTAGAAACTGTTTTACTTGTTATAGTAACAGCTTTTCCTACACTAGTCCACTGCCTCATATTTCAAAGTTTGACATTGACGTCTTTTCTTTTAATTCCGTTAATGTATATGTTTCCATTCGACAAAAAAGATCATGGGCAATTTGTCCGATGGATACGTCGTAATGATCGGTTCAAAGTTTTCCAACCTTGCTGTGAGGCAGGAAATCAGTGTTGTTAAGTAGAAATATCCTAGGGCAATTAGTAAGTGGCATATACCATGAAGATACAAATGAGCAAACACATAAGTACAGTAGAAAGTATCGATACACCAGAGCACATATGCAATTACGACATACCCAGTGGCATACCTGTGAAAATAAAATTATATAATTTTTATATGATACTCATAATTAGAAAAACGTTTTCTTTGGTTTGGTTACTAGCGCTTTCAATAGCAAATTTTTCGGCAGTTTATCTATTGATTAATATTGCTAACCAATCTTAGCTAAATATAATAGCACCTCCTTTGACAACGAAGTTCGACATTTTCACGTCTTGTTGTGATTCTCATAACCTTGATACCAATAATCCGTTTTATATACCAATGATGCCTGCAGCCACTTTTTGTTTTGGAGGCCACTGTTTGTCTAATACAAAAAATGTACACTTTGAAATAGTTTTTCCTTTCTTTTTCTTGATTTCTTATTCCTTAAGATAAGGTGTAGAAAAAATGTAAGATAAGAAAAGAAAAAAATCTCAGTACAACTACTATAATGTTAATATATGATTTTAGTAAGCTGCGATGAATTTTGTTATATATATATATATACTCATTGAACTGAATAAGAAAGATGGAGCTTACGACAGAAAAATACATACAGGCTTTCAAATCACTCGGCATCTCAAATATCTCGTATTTCAGTTAAAACCATTTTTGATGTCTACATGTATTTTCTCTATACATGAAATAAAAACATTTGGATATACATGTTGTGTGATGTTTTTAATGTGAACAAGTACTTTCAATGAAAATTCTACGTGGACTATTTTGTCTAAATAGATTATACATGCAACATTACCAATTTATAAATGTTAACTTGAAACTTTCTTTGTCAAATGTGCCAGTACAGATAATTTACAGATGCCTAACACATTATTCAACCATATGATTTCAATACATGGTCAAAAGTTTCCAATATAACCCAGATTGTCAAAAAATTTGCCATGGGGACTTACCGAGGAGTTCAAAATGTGTGGTTGACAAGGAAAATACGTAAAGTGGCAGCTTTAGACCCCTGTAGAGTCCAGACGAGTCCGGATCCCAGAATGATATTTAAGTGGGCAATGGCCTCGGTCAATATCTTTCGAATGAGCTAGGTCTGGTTCAGAACTTTGCCGTAGGAAATTGGCGATGAGTACCGAAAGAATGTGTGATTGATATGAAAAATACATAATGGTCAACTTTGGACTGATGTGGTGCCCAGACGGGCCCGGATCCCAGGACGATATTTAAGTGGGCAATGACCTCCCTTCTCGATAAAAACCTTTGAAATGGGCTAGGTCTGGTTCAGAACTTTGCCGTACGGACTTGGCGAGGAGTACTGAAAGAATGTGTGGTTGATTTGAAAAATACTTAATGGTCAACTTTGGACCCCTGTGGTGTGCAGACGGGCTCGGATCACAGGACGATATTTTAGTGGACAATGACCTCGTTAAAAACCTTTGAATGAGCTAGGTCTGGTTCAAAACTTTGTCGTAGGGACATGCCGAGAAGTATCTAATGTGTGGTTGACAAGAAAAATACGTAAAATTCCAGCTTCGAACTCTTGTGGAGTCCAGACTGGCCTGGATCCCAGAACGATTTTAAGGAAGGCAATGGTCCCGGTCAATACCTTTCAAATGAGCTAGAAACTTGCCGAGGAGTACCCAAATAATGAGTTGTTGATATGAAAAGTAAGTTGAGAGGCAACTTTGGACCCCTGTGGTGTCCAAACGAGCCCAAATCCCAGAAAAAATATGTAAGTATAGAATGGCCTCGGTCAATTGTAGCTTGTTGGCTGTTAAAAATACCCTCAGTTCCAGTGGCAGTCCAAAATTATCGCTTTTTTCACGGTTGGCCTACCGTACAAATGCTATGTTTGACAGCCAACAGGTTACCTACAAAGAGAATTGTTGCAAGGACTCTTTAATGTGCAGAAAGCTTGACTTTCGATCTACACGAGGCATCGGATTAGACATCCCCCATACCGGACGTGGTGGCTGATTTGTACATTCTGCACAGCCAAACGACCGGCCCATTTATCACAGATTTTATTGCCATATAGGGAGAAGTCAAGGTGACCATATTTATATACTACAGTCAACCCTTGTACTTTATAAAAACTCCATTAAAAACCGAAGTACTCTGTATAATTTCTTATTCTTATATATGCTTTAATGTGTCATCCTCGTTTTATTGAAATACATAAACAGTATTTAAGTATCGAAAGTGACAGTTGATAGAAACCTTTCTCCGGTTGAATAATGTAATAGATTTGTAACTTGTTCTAATGCAATGCACATTTTGAAATAAATTCAAATTTCACACTTAGTTCCAAACTGTTACTTTTATTATTAAGGTTGATGTATTTTAGTTGTTTCATTATATATATTTTTTTTATACTAACCACATCTGTAAAAATGCATCAATCTTGGCAAATTTGTAGCTTTCTTTATTCTTCCATATTTCAAGACAAATAGACAATATGAAGAACCAGAGAACGTCAAAAGTCAACCAGCCGATCCATGCATTCCTATAGGCAGAACTTAGAACCACGGTTACCATTGGGTACATTCCTAAACAAAAAGAAATTTATAAAACAGAGAAATCTAGTAACATTTGGTTCGTATAATAATTTAATAAAATTTAAGTTCAATAGTCCAATTCCCACCAAACCAGAAGTGATTTTACAATTGTCAGTAAATGATGAAGTAGAGGACCAATATACTTTGAACAGAGATGCACTGCTAGTAGCAAAATTTACGAAGTCTACGAAGTTTTTCATTGGTCGTCAATTTTGATTTCTAAGGAGAGTTATCTGATTTTGGGGGAGAAGCTGAAGCTTGGAATATTTCATAAATATTTTTTCTAGACATTTTACAAGTTTATATATAGGCTGGGACTTTTATACTTATATTAGTATAATAGTCCCAGATACAGGGTATATTTTCAAGATGTCTTAATTGTTGTGATTCACCTTTAACGTTTTACGTGTAAACAATTCGTTATGTCAACTATAGAACTAAATAGGCAAACGGAAATAAACATTTCAAATAAAACACCGTGGCAATAGTGATTCGTTAATTTTTTATTCAAAATACTGATTGCATCCGGTATGTCTAACTTCCAAACGGCTACTTAACAGGTCCATCACATCACATCACATGTTACGTTCTTTCAAGATATCATACTCGTCTGGTATTTTGTTTAATGGTGAAATAAGTAATCATTTACAGCTATCGAAAGGAGTAACGTTACAAAATGAAGGATATTTACTTAAAAAGAATCAAGTTACCACATTATTTATGTGCCTGTCCCAAGTCAGGAGCATGTAGTTCAGTTGTTGTCGTTGGTTCATGTCTGTCATATTTGTTTTTCAAAAATTGTTTTGTTATAGATTAGGCCGTTAGTTTTCTCAATTGAATTGTTTCATATTTTCATGTCGGGGCCTCTTATAGCCGACTATACGGTATGGGCTTTTCTCATTGTTGAAGGCCGTACGGTTACCTTTGATTGCTTACATTCACTTCATTTGAACTTTGGTGGATAATTGTCTCATTGGCAATCATAACACATCTTCTTATTTTTATATGAAATATCCTTCTAATTGCCAGTATTATTCACCTGCTTTTGATCTGATTTTCCGCCTCAGTATACTGGGAGGCGCTCTCAATGTGTTTTCTACATTGAATATTAAACTGAAATTTTAATGCGTTTATGATCATAAATTGTTTGTAAAAGAGAGGCGAAAGATACCAAAGGGACATTCAAACTCATAAGTGGAAAATAAACTGACAACGCCATGGCTTAAAAAGAAAAGACGAAAAGACAAACAACAGTACACAAAACACAACATAGAAAACTGAAGACTGATCAACACGAACCAAACTAAAAACCGGGGGTGATATCAGTTGCTCCGGAAGGGTAAGCAGATCCTACTCCACATGTGGCACCCATAGTGTTGCCCATGTAAGTGCAAACCCTGTGATAAGTCTAATTCGGTAGATCACATTCGGGGAAAAGGAGGACAAGATTATGGTTACGATGATAAGAAAATATCCATCGTCGTCTGTAAAACTGATATTTCATAATGGTCAACTAACTCGTGATGGCGTTCGTAAAATTTTCGAAGGGATGACTTCAACTTCACCAATTGGAACTTGTTCATAACTTGGAAATAACGTAAAGGGTATTCGGAATAAATAAAATATTATATGAAATATAAATACGATTGCCTTACTGTCATTGTAAGATTGCATTTGTAGTTTTGCTTAAAATCTATCTTCAGCTGAAAATATACATATAAAATCAGAAATTGACTTCAATATTTAGCATTAAAAAACTATTGTACCTTTTTATTATTAAATTAATGCAGATGTGTAAGCATTTACTTCAGACACAAACATCTAAACATATTGTTTGAAAAATGTAAACGTTTAGACACGATCGCTAACTTACCGGCTATCAAAACAGTGGTGATGAAAATGTAGTGGTGTCCATAAAATTGAGAAAACCCAGCAGTATTTGCAAGAAATACCACAATCAGACTTTGTTGAAACTTGAGTATCGTCTCTCCTATTCGTCCAAACCCATTCCACAGTGTTGCATGGTATATGCCTTCCATTATTCCGTATCCAACAATGAGACCATACAAGTAAAGGATAAAGGACGACACATTATTACCAGATTTGTAGATGCCGAGAATCCCAAGGAAAACACCAGATAATAGACAAATAGCGAAATTTCCGAACTCTTTAAATGTGATAATGTTGAATAGATTGAAAGGACCAAGTTTCTGATATTCGCAGAATCCATCTGGGGGAGATATCGCAGTAAAATTGTAAAAGGATATATTGGCTGGTGCTGTCATCATGGCTGAAAACATAATGTATTTTTAATGTTAGAACATTGTTGACCAAAAGACCAAAAACAGATTTCAACGATGCATTGTTCGCTACTATTACTTTTTTTAATGTTTAATTATACCATAACAATGAATAGCCAATGTTTCTGAAAACAATTTCAAAGTGGAAAATCTATTGACATATAATAGAAGACGAACAATAAATAATTGTTTAATCTTTTATATGTATATTCCTGTTTCAAGTCAAGAAAATGACACATTTATTTGGATCGTAGATGTCTTTATAAAAAGGCTTTTCGAATCAACTGCGAAATGCACACCCAAAGGAGAAACCAGTTGAAGTCCCACCAGGAAATGGAAAATCAGGGAAAAGGAAAAAAAAACGTCAGTTTCTCATAATACATTTTTTTGCTTTATGAAATGTGTGCCCTTTGTAGATATTTTGTATGTAAACATGTAATCGTCCGGTCATCTATACATGATAGTACAAAAGGTTGTTTTTAAGAAATTAATTGACGTGTAAACTGGGTATTCTCACTCACAAACTAAATAAAGTCCGAGGAATTTTATATAAAAAAGAAGATGTGGTATTATTTCCAATGAGTCTTAAAGAGAATATTAAATTTGTGAACGATAGGCTGATATTAATCAGCAATAAATACAACGAAAATAACATTTATAGCTTTTAATTGTAATAGAGTTTACTGAAAATGTTGCTAAAATTTGTCATTTTATGAACACTAACATTTATTTATCCTGTGTAAAAATAAATACAAGTTACGACAATAAACGGGTTAATACTTGAATAAACGTTTTGTCATGACGCTGACCATCGAAATAAGACTCATACAACATTGAAACCTAATTCTTTGTTTGCAGAGATTGTAGAGATTATCCATTTTCGTTCAAATTAACAAGAGTATTACTTAATAAATCATCAATATATATGGGAAATCACACAACACGACATATTAAAAAAAGAATAAAAATACCAATATATTAACTTAACAACGTTAATATCTACAATAATCAAGACCTGCTGTAAATTTACTCACTACTAAATAATTTGCATCTGCTGTTTGTGTAAAAATCCTATGCATAACATTTCCTGGAAGGAATGTCTAAAAATAAAGTTTATATTACCTAAATAACTAAGTATTATATATTTCAAAAGATGTACACTCCGTGAAATTTAAATTTTAAATGTTACGAACGACTTGCTAGCTCTCTTTTGTCATTCATATAAAAGGTTGTAGGTTACAAGGAAGTAATTATTTACATAGGCGACAATGGTAGCCTTTTTTGGTCCTGCGTTTTCACTATCAAAGATCCATCGAAAAAATTTCGAATTCTGAATTATCAACACCTTTGGGTGTAATTGAAACGGCAAAACACATATGGTGCCGCAGCTTTTTTGATAGAAAAATTGCATTTTTTAAGAGTACTCAACGGTTCCGGAAATTTCGAAATAGTATGAATGAAGAACACCCCTTGCTAAATTTGGCACAGAAAATGTTGCTCGTCACAGAGAGTTTTCTCTAAATTTCTCGCTATTTCTACACCAATGGCCAACACTCATTTCTCACTATTTTAATTTTGATTTCTAATTACCAAGGCAGCAGAAAATAAATTTACTTCTACCTATTATCTTGGATGTGAAATCTAGGTTGCGCCAGTCATCTTTATTTACTTCCTTTTAACCTATACTGACACATATTGAAATAAAATCGGACAACCTTTACATTAGTCGATTACTATATACCCCTGCTGCTTAAGTTCAAATTTTTGGATTAAAGATACAATTGTTGACCATTTAAAATGACTTTCTTTACAGGTACCCCCCTTTGCAGAAAACGTTACTTTTTACAGACTTGGGGCCATTTACCAGCTTATTTTAAACTGTTTGGCTATGTTTTAAACACGGTTTTTGATTAATGAAGTTCGATTAAGGCCTATTAAAGACTTTAGGCTGATGATTTGATAAATGTATCCAACTTATATGTCTTTATCACGAATATATGAACACCGTTGCATAAGAGTCAAAATATGTTATGAAATAGAGTATAAAAATGCTGAAACTAAGAATTTATCATTGCTGTTATGTCAGTCGAGGCAAATAGGAAATTGCATAATATTATGAAATATCCTAATTAAACACATTATTATGAAATTCAATAATATTAGTTATTCGAATAATTTTGTTGCTATATTGTGAGATTTCGTAATTCATAAAATTATGGAAATCCATAATATAAGAAGAAATTTTGATTTTCAATTAATTTTTTCGTTCGTTTTTTGGACCCCTTGACTATTTTTGGGAAATTCTTCGGAGAAAAAAGTTATTTCTGAGTGGCGTTTATATCAGGGCGTTAGGAACAACAATCAGATTTTCTACGAAACGCCTAAAATTCTCCCGAATCCCCGACGAGACGACGTTCGGAGATAAACTCAGAAAAACAGTAAACAGTCTGTATAATTATAAATGTAGCTAAAAAGGATGAGCTGGGGCACCCTGCCCCTCCCCTCTCCCATAATCCGCCTTTGAAGGTTAATATTAACATAAAAGTATTAAAAACTAGAAATCAAGTTTTCACATGTATAAAGATATATGTCAGAAATCGTTAATTGATCAGATATTTGTAAAATTGCATTACCAACTCAAATTATATTTTAGTATTATATATTGATATGGCATTATATCAGAAGCGGATTCATGCGGGGACATAGCGGGCGTGCATCTACCTACCTAAAATGTGCAAAGCATGGGTTTTCTTCAGCTTAATAAAAGACATTTCGATAATCATAACTTAAGAAAATATTCGCATCGCTCCGCTCGGCGAAAGTTTAAGTTTGTGCCCCCCTCCCCCTCACCTAAGATCCTGGATCCACCAGTCTTATCTGCCTTTTGTAAAATAAACCACATACGAATACATTCTAAATATTAGAAAAAATATGATACGGCTGCGATAGCCTCGAGGGGAGGGGGGGGGGGGGGGGGGGGCACTTCAATATTTTTTTGGTAGGGGTGAGCAGCTGAGACATCAAGTACCCCACCCTTTTCATATATTTTGTTTGTCAAAAATATATACCTTGTCATATATCAATTAAAGAAAAAAAAAACCTATAGATATATTCGGATATTTTTCATCTTCTGGTACATTAGTATAGAGATTTTTTTTTGGTCCCGCTCATCATCAAGTTTATGTTAAGAAGCAACGCAATTGTACACACCTTGCTTTTCAGTTTCCTCTATTTGACCCTTTTATATCTTTCATTTTGAAGAAATTTCAATTTCAATAGACAATAAAATTTGTTTGGTAAGATAAATGTGGTAACACTCCCAGAGAGTTACACTTTCACAGGGTTTTATATTATATAATGAAAAACTGATAAAAAGTTACATTGCTCTTGACACTATGGAATTTCTTTTAATAATTGTTATCATGTTTCATTCATACAAACCTTTGAATGTTAATTAGATGTACATGTCAAAATGGTCGGATTTATAGCATCTAGCTATATTATAACTACCATCAGTGGAAATACCACATTGGAATAAATAGAGATTAGTGGATTGACAAATAACTGATGCATTTACTCTGGTTTTACCGCACCGAAATTAAATACTGACAACTGATTAGTTTCAAATACTTATGATATAATCAAGCAACCTATTGATATATTTAATCTGATTTTCTCACCCTTTTCATATATCATGGAGCATGAAATAGTGACCTATTCCAGCGGCTCATCCCTAACACTCATTACATGGTAAGTAATCCACCCCCCCTACCCACCCTAATCCTCTTTAAAACTTTAAAAACACAGTGTCATTCCTAGTAAAATCTTACAATACCCAAAGTACAAACGAATTAAATAAACAACACAAAATTACTAGAAGACACGTTTTTTTTTAATATATTATTCAGTTAATTTTACACATATTTAATTTTTTTCTCTCGAAAATCAATCAGCTAAAAATTCATTTTTCAAGAAGTAGAAGAGATAATAAAATAAAAGTAACGTAGTTGGTGTCTCTTGATCATGACAAGTTGTTTATGAACAAAATAAGTGTGTATGTTATATACTTTTTTACGATTCACATAACTAAGGCGGTAGTAAATTCTTAATGAAAATAAACCGAAATATTAAAGTTTGTAATAAAACACCCGTGACTTGTAAAAACTTTCTAACTACAAAGAAAGCATATGCCAAGTCAATCTTGGAAGCAGAATTTCTAGCAGAATCAATAGCAAACATCGGTCGAAACGTCATAGCTGGGTAATGAATATTCATATTTTAGAAGATTAACAAAACATGCAGCCATAGAAAGACAATAAAAACCGATACAAACTACAATATACATGTTGTATAAGAGATACAATATAGGATAGCTGCGTTCATATCCGTGGATATGGATATTTTAACACCCTGAAGTATCCAAGTTCACCCTGAGGCGAAGCCGTACAGAAGGGTGTTAAAATATCTACAGGTTTGAACCACCTATGAACATATATAACGAATTCATCCCCGGTCTTAGTCCAAATCTGGCGTTTTTTAGATACATTCGACCACAAAGTGTAACGTGAAAGCAACGTAGGGTACTACTTTTGGTACAACCCTTCAGATGGTCAAATATAAGACGTTTTTAATCTAGAGACAGAGGAACTGGAATGGGTCAATTTGGCGCCCAATGTTGTGAAAGTCAAACATCAAAGACAACAAGGAACAACCATGGAACTAAGGAAAACGCGCGTGAAGTTCCCCGGTGTAATAGGTAGCAACATCCGGGTATATGGGTTTGGAACAACCCGGGGCTATGGGTTTTGTGACGACGTGCGTTAACCAATAAAAATTCTAGAAATATACTAGTACCCGGCCATTTCCCCTCTTTGAATTTGTTAGATGTATTTCTATGTGTATCCTTCTGATGACTTAAGCCTTTTTCAACTGAATTTTTATAGTTCGTTCTTATGTTGTACTGTTACACCACTGTCCAAGGTTAGGGGGAGGGTTGGGATCCCGCTAACATGTTTAACCCCGCCACATTCTGTATGTATGTGCCTGTCCCAAGTCAGGAGCCTGTAATTCAGTGGTTGTCGTTTGTTGATGTGTTACATATTTGTTTTTCGTTCATATTTTGTACATAAATTAGGCCGTTAGTTTTCTCGTTTGAATTGGTTTACATTTGTCATTTCGGGGTCTTTTATAGCTGACTATGCAGTATTGGCTTTGCTCATTGTTGAAGGCCGTACGGTGACCTATAGGTGTTAATTTCTGTGCCATTTGGTCTCTTGTGGAGAGTTGTCTCATTGGCAATCATACCACATCTTCTTTTTAATTTAAGACTGGGATAAATGCTTATATTGTTGTTTCAAATTTTGAACAGAGTGTGATCAACCTTTGAGTTGGAAAATGAGTTCCAGTTCCAGTTCGAATTTAAGTTGAGTTCAAGTTCGTTTTCGAGTTTGGGTTCGAGTTTAAAGTTTAAGTTATACTTTGAGTTCGAGAAAAGGTCCGAGTAATAGTTCGAGTGAGAAATCGAGTAACAAGACGAAGTAGAGTTCGAGTTAAAAATATTGTCAGACAGTAACGAGATATATAGGTTTTGTTGAAACATGACTAGAATGAATACTAGTATATAAAAAGATGAAGTTGCATAACAAACAGAGAAATCGTCAATATTAACATGATTATGAAAAGAAAAGAAAAGAAAAATGATTCTAGAGGAAACGGGAAATACATACATATTAAACTTAATCGTTAGTCACTAAATAAGTCTAATTTATAGTGTGTTGGTGGTGGTGTTTGGGTCTCGTTTCTCTATTTTTAACTTCTTTGCCGAAATTCTCTATTCTGAATACATTACCACACCAGCATTCTCTTTTCTTTTGAACTATTTTAAAAAACTATACTGTTTAAAATTTTCGCCTTTTACTTTATTCTCTATTGTTTGCCCTGATATTCTGTAAACCCTATCCAGACTCTTTGATATGTATTCACGAAAGCATTATTTCATTTTTAGTTGGACTTGAGACTTGAAAACAATGTAATGATTGCAGAAGAAAATGTTGTTTTTTTTTTCGTCGTAATAATTATTAAACAACGTCAAATAGTACAGTAGCGACATTTGGTAACGAAAATAAATCTAGTATTAAAAACAAAATTAATATTATGTT